GCTGTGGCCCCGCGGGGGCCCCTTGTGACCCTCCTCGGCGGCCACGGACAGAGTCGGTGACCCACCACCCACGGCCTTGCCAAGTGGCCTGCTCAAAGCTCTGGTCGGTGACGGCGGATTTGGCGGCTCCCGTGGTCTGTGGCCCAAAGTGCTCTGCTCGTGGGCCTCCTCTCTCGTGGCCCTCCTCGACGGCCACTGTCGGATTTGGGAGCTCGTGGCCTGCGGCCCCTCGCTCCCTCGTGGCCCCCGTCGCTCCACGATGGCGCTCTGGTGCCCCTCCCGTGAATTCGCGACTCGGGGATGCGACACAAATGACTCTCCATGTTCGCCTCTGGCTCGTGGCCCGTGGCTCTACCTCGTGGCCCTCGTTCGGAGCGGAGCCGCAGCGAAGCGATTCGCAGTCGGCTCGCGGCCCGCTGCTCTCTCGTGGTCGCAGCTCAAGCGTGCGATCGGGGCCAAGAACCGTTTCGGCGGCTCGTCGTGCGCGACCCCGTCGTGACCCCGCCGCGTGCGCTCGCACGCGGAGCGGGGCCGCTGCACCGACTCGATGGCTCGTGGCCACGGCCGACGGAGCGGCCTGTGGATCCATGGCTCTTGTGGTCCGCGCATGTTGGAGCTCCTGGATCGAGGAGGAGGAGGAGGAGGAGGAGGAGGAGGAGGAGGAGGAGGAGGAGGATCGACGCGGTGGCCTGTGGCACTCGGCGCCCCCCGTTGCCCCAAGCGATGTCACTCCTCGTGCCCGGCCGCTCTCGATTCGGTGGCTCGTGACTACTGGCCCGGTTTAAGCCCGTGTCACGCTCGTGCTCTCGGGCGGAATGCCATCCCACCAATCGTCTGGGCGCAGGTGGTTCGGGCCGGGCGAAATGGGGGGATAGCAAAGGGGGGGTTTGAGAATCAGCTCACGTAGCTGATTTTCCTGGCGCCTCCCGGCGCCGGAGGCTGCTATATATCGAGGAATGGGCCCCTCGGTGAGGCCGAAACCAGCTGCATGCAGCAAATTTCGTAAGCCCCCCTTTCCCAATCCCCCCCTTTCGCCTGGCCCGAATGGTCTGGTGGTCATGATATTCTTCGGCGGTGGACAGACCTCCCTTTAGTAGCCCTCCCCTCAATGAAAACGGCCCGGGACCGAACCGGACGGACCTGGACCCGCAAAAATGAGGGCCGCGACGCCCTCCTGCGAACCGCAAACGGCCAATTCCTCCATCGACGTGTCGGGGTAGGAGGTCTGTCCACCCCCGAATTATCTGCCCGCCGGCGATGAGTTGGCGGCTGTGGCCGGAGGCCCCCCCCTGAGCCCATCCCCCGGTATCGTTGCCCCTGAGCTCCTCTGCTTCGCCAGTGGGGCGCCCATCGCCTGCGCGGGGGGGGCTGCCGCCGCGCACGCTGTCGTGGGCATCGTTCTGGTGCTGCGGGCCCGCGGCCTCTGCGTCGGCGGGGCGGGCTGACTCCGAAGGCGCCCCGGCAGCTCCAGCGCCGGGCGCGGTTGCGGGTCCCGCCGCGGCGCCGTCGTCCTTCGGCAGGGAAAACGGAACATCATCCTGCCCACAGCGTTTCCTCACTAAGGTCAAATAGTCCCTTTTCTCACATTTGCTATCGAAGCTGCTTGACAAGCCGTCCCATACGGACCCTGTGAGCCTTTTTGGAACGGATAAGGGAAAACGTGATTCATCGAAAGAACCAGACAGACAAACAGTCAACCACTGAGAGAAAGGAGGGAGGGAGACACATTGAGGAAGGTACAGGGAGAGAGAGAGAGAGAGAGAAAGAGAGAGAGAGGACTCCATACATATGTGTATATATATACACATACACTAGAACCATCGCGCGCGCTTCGCGCGCGCTCCCAGGCCGGGGGGCACTGGGCGACCTTGGGCAACGCTATCAAGCATAAGCGCGCGACGGCATCAGAGGAGCTTCTGGGGTGCTCCGCATGCTTCGTCAGCTGGCTGTTGGAGGCATCCCTTGGGTGTCCTTTTTTTGGGGGGGGGCGTCTGAGGGTCCCTTGGGGGCATCGGTTCTGCAACCTGAAGCCGTCATTGGCCGTCTTGGCCGCGTGGAGGCCCGACTGGAGGCCACCCGCGGCCAGATTGAGGCCATCCGGACGCCTCCCGGGGCCCTTCTGGACGCAGTTTTGACGCATCGAGGGCACCCTTGGGCTATTTTAAAGCCTCTTGGACGTCTCCTAAGGGCCTTTTGGGCACTCGGGAAGCTTTTGGGGTCCTCGTCGGACCACTTTTGGGGCCTCTTGCGGCCTCCTGTGGGCCGTGGGGGGGACCGCTCTGCTGTTGGGCGCGTTCCCCTTCTTTGGCCTCTCTTGGGGCTCTTGGGGCCCTCTCGGGCGGCGCCTCAAGCACCGTCTTGGGGCCCTCGGGGGCCGTCTTGGGGCCCTCTTGGAGTCCTCTTCCTCTATATGGGACCGGTATTGGAAGCCTCTTGGGCCGTCTTGGAGCATCGGGATGCCAAAAGGCCGAAAAAGCCCAATCGTAAAACAATGAGTTGTGCCTCTTGGGGCCACCTTGGGAGATCTCTTGGAACCTCGTCGGCCCTCTTGGGAGCTTCTTGGGGGCCTCTTGGATGCGATTGGGGGCCTCTTGAGACTTCCCGAGAACCTCTCGGGGTAGAAAGCTCGGATTCTCGGTTCGTGTTTCCCTCCTTGGGCCTCTCTTGGGGCCGTCTTGGGGTCCTCTCGGGCCGTCTTGGGCGCCTCAGGCACCGCCTTGGGGCCCTCGTGGGCCGCCCAGGGCCCTCTTGGAAGCCTCTTCAGCAATCTTTTTTTTTTGGGGGGGGGGCGGACCAATGGAAGCACATTCCAAGCGGCAGACGAGCTGTTGCAGGCGCGGTGGACGTTTTCCACGCGGCATGCAACGCGACAAATTACATTTGCTGTCGACGCGGTGGACTTCCACTCGGCGTACGACAATGAAAAATACAGCTGGTAGCAGGTATAGCAAGTATTTCGCATGATCCTACTGCAGCTGGCTACCCCTTCTTTCATTTCTCGAGTTGCTTGGGCGAAGAGGAACGAAGCGGAGAACGAGGATGAGAGAACAAAAATAACGCCTGCTGTTCAGCCAGCCGCCAGCTGGCTTGCCCAAGACGGATGGGTCTTTCGCCCACACAATCTTGGACTTGGACATACTGCCGACGCATATCCGGCGCAGGACTGGTTCGCTCCAGCGGAAGAACCATACACTGGCAAACGGACACAAACACCAACGCTGCACAATGAGACACGTGGCCGGCACGACACGACAAAGAAAACTGTCCCGCATTCTGTAGGTGAACAAACAGTGGCATCTTGGTCCCAAGGTCGCAACTCCTCTGAGAGCCCAAAGCCCTTACAGCGCTCGCGCGCTGCTCGGGGAATGACGAGGCTTGGAGCCGCCCACAGAGCCTTGGACGCAGATTCGCGCCCCGCCAGGTGCCGCAGTCAGACGCAGCAGGTGCGACCCTCGTGATGCGGCATTCGCCCGGCGCGGCATTCGCCGGCGCCCGCGCGCGGCATTCGCCCGGCGACGACCCACAAGCCTGAGAACCAGCAGCACAAAAGCCGCCCTTCAGACGCACAGAGTAGAAAAATCAAGGCGTTCGAGCTTGAAACCGCATGGCGGGCGGCCCTACAGTGCCCCTCCCTGGCCCACCTGGCACCAGTATAGCAACGCTCGGGGCGCTTAGATACGCCTTGAAATGACAAGGAACGGGAAGAGGACGAGAATCATGAGCGAAGCTGGGCGAGAACCTTCCGGTGGGGCGGCCGAGTCTCTGGATAGGCAAGCACGAAAGCTGATGCAGTCCAAAAACATCACCCCAAACTGGGGCGCCCATTTCTGATCGAACTCGCCCTCTTGGTGACTAATCGTCACTCGGGCGAGTGAAACGGAGGACGAGGATGAGGGCAGAAGGAAAGAGCGAAGTAACAAAGCTGGGCGAGAAACTTCGAGTGGGGAGGCAAACTCCTCCGAGAAAGAAGGTTCAAAGGCTGATGACCAGACAGCATGGTGCTGGGAAGCGCTGATGCTGCCACCTGTTCAGACTGCCGCCAAATGTCTCGCCAGTGGCCATTTCGGCCGGCCTTAAAAGTAAGTGCTGCCCGTGCGCGGTTGCCACAGCACATATTCGCTCCAACGAAGGAAGAGCCTCCGATCTGGGAACTGCCGAGAGGCAAGTTCGCCCCTCGCAAATTGCCACAGACTCAGCAGGTGCGGACCCCGAAGTGCCGCGTGGTCCACGAGGAACGCGGGCGCGCTCACGGCGAGAAGCCCGACGCCTCGGGCAAGGGTGCTCCCGCGACGCGCCCGCGGCTGCACGTGCCGCAGAAGGGCGAGTCTGCCGCGCGCGTCTCACGCAGAGGCCCGAAGCCGCAGGCGAAAGCGCTCCGGCGCTTCGCCGCCAGCAGCATCTCTCCGAGTGGCGAGCCGGGCCCGCGGCGGCCCACCGCGCTGGGCTCCCAGGCCCCGGTCGCCCCCTGCCCGAGGGCGAGGCCGTCGGTCGTCCCCCGCAGGGCGGCGGAGCAGCGCCGTGCCCTCCGCAGCAGGCTGTCGAGCGGCGAGGTATCGCAGCGGTCCGCCGCGTCGGGCTCGAGGGCCTCGCCATCATCCGCCGCGTCGGGCTCGAGGGCCTCGACATCAGCCGACCAATTGGGCTCGAGGTCCTCGTCATCATCCGACCAACTGGGCTCGAGGTCCTCGTCATCATCCGACTCGCTGAATTCACCCATCATGGACCCGAAGTCTTCGTCTTCACATGCGGTCGTCGATGCGCTGACCAGCCTGACCCAGCGCTTCGATGAGTTCTTATTGCTCAGCGCCCTGAGGCGGTCGAGGCTCTTGGACGTCGACAAGTGACACCCAGGAATCAACGCCATGTCCAAGGAAGCCGGGCGGAGGCAACGGAACATGATGCAATGAAGAATGCAGCGCGCTGTTTCGAAATCTGGCAAAACTTGGCTTGAGCCAAAATGGCTACGGAAAAGCCTCTTCGGCTATCTTGGAGTCTGGGAGGCCTCTTCCTCCTCCTCCTCCCACTCCAACTCTCCCTCCTCCTGATCTTCCTCCTCCTCCTCCTGCAGCGCGTTCCGGAAGGCTCCCGCCGGAACATGCTGTGCACACGTGCTGTCACTGCTCCCGCCACCGTGCCCTGGGTGGTGGGTCAGAGGCCTCATGGGTGTTGGTTTGGATCTCGTGGTTGGCCTGTCGGGGACGTCGTGAAGACAGTTTCGCAGCTTCTCGGTAGCCGTTTTGGGACCGTTGTGGGGCCTCCTCGGGGCTGTTTTGTGGCCTCTTTAGGCCTCGTTTGGGCCTCCTGGGTGCCTCTTGGGGCCTCTGGGGGGCTCCTTGGGGCCTCCTGGGGCACTCTTCAAGCGGGAGGGTTGAATTTTGGAGTCGTGGTCCCTCTCTTGGGCGCATCTTGGGGCCGTCTTGGGGCTCTGTTGGGCTGTCTTGGGCGACTCTGGGGCCGTCTTGGGGCCCTCTTGGGCCGTCTTGGGGCGCTCCCGGGGGCCTATTGAGCCGTCTTGGAACGTCGGACAACCGAAAAGGCTGGAAGGCCAAAATCGTTCGAAAACCTTGTAACATTCACGATTTCGGCCTCTTGAAGCGCTCTGGAGAGGCGTCTTGAAGCGTCGTGGAGTGCCTTGGGGGGCCTCTCGGGCCGTCTTGGGCCTATCTTGGGCGTCCTGGAGCGGTCTTTCGGCGACTCGGGGCCTGCTTGGGCCGTCTTGGGAGCCTCTGGAGGCCCTCCTGGACTATTTTGGACTTCCCCGGCCGCCCCGTCCTCCCACGGGGGGTCGGAGGCGGCGGCCTCCGAGGCCCAGGACGCGGAACCCCTTCGGAGTGAACCACGCTCGGTTCGCAGTCACCCTGGTACGAGGCACTGTTCGATTGGCCGGTCGCTCGAGGGGGCCGCCCGTAGTTATTATACCTATATATATATATGTATTATACCTCATGCGGTTTCGGAAGAAGTAGGTAGAAACATGAGTAGGAAGGCGTTGGAAATACATGGGGTTTCCGCCGCCTCCTGAAGAGGAGGGAAGAGGGAAACCCACTCGACTCGTGAAGTAGGAAGGCGCTCAAAGTAGATTGGAATCTGGGAATCCCAAAATACCTACTTTCAACGACCGAGGGGTACATCTATGGATCCACCCCGATTGCACAACATATTCTGCTATAGTCACACTGTCTGGGGCTCACGCTGGCTGACCTATTGTTACCAGGGGGCAAGCAAACCTACCTCCTCCTCCTCCTCCACCTCCTCCTCCTGCTCCTCCTCCTCGTGACATTGATGAGGAGGAGGTGGAGGAGGGGGGGGAGGGCGCTTTTGACCACCCTCGCTTCCAAGAGATACCAAGCGATGCCAAACTACGGCCTGTACTGGCCAGGCCGCTTGACGAGGAGGCGCGTGGTATGACTTGGTTCTGCCTGGAAGCGAAAGCGGGGCAGGTAAGTCACGCTCTGAGTTAAACTACTCCTCCACCGACTCCCCTACCTCCTCCTGCTCCTCCTCCTCGTGACATTGATGAGGTGGAGGTGGAGGAGGGGGGGGAGGGCGCTTTTGACCACCCTCGCTTCCAAGAGATACCAAGCGATGCCAAACTACGGCCTGTACTGGCCAGGCCGCTTGACGAGGAGGGCGCGTGGTATGACTTGGTTCTGCCTGGAAGCGAACGCGGGGCAGGTAAGTCACGCTCTGAGTTACTCTTTGCTGGTGCTGGTCGTTTCCCCGGGGGGGGGGGAGGTTGGGGCCCCGGGTAACGGTAACGCGTGGGCGGGGAAGGGCACGTCGGGGCGGGGGTGCCCACAATACAGACGGGCTTTGGCCCAAGGAGCCCAAAACAAGGAAACGGGCCCCCTTCTATTCCACAAGTGGAACTTCGCTTATCCCATGAAACCTGAGGACAACCTGAGGCAAACTGTGAAACATCAGGAAAACAGAGCCCCTACCCCAAGAAAGGGTTTCTTCCTTCTTCCAGCACCCTGACTGTAGCCAGAGTAATGTGCGTAGGCACAAACATGAAACGGACGGGGGACAACCCCCCCAGCCCTACCCCGACGACGTCACGCAACCATGACCAAGTGTGTGTTTGTGTGTGTCCTGGGTAACGACTGGTACGCGCCAGAGATCAACAGGCAGTCCCGATAAGGTCGCTGGTCATTCTGCGGCGAGAGCGAAAGGGAAAGAGAGAGAGAGAGAGACATGTAGAAATATAGCAACACATGCTTCAAGTCGCTGGTCCTGCTTTGACTCGAGCATTGCGGCACTGTGCTGGAGGACCTGGTTCTTGATCTGGATCCCCTTTTTGGTCATGGTGGTCGGAGCCGACAGAGCCGTGTTTGGCGGCAAGGTCGTCGCCGACTTGGGGCCGCGCAGCTTCTTCTTCGAGACTGGCGCAGCAGACAACTTCTTCCCCATCGGCCTCATCATCGTGGCGCTGGACACCGAGGACCCCTGGCACAAAATGGGATCGATACACCTGGCCTGCATACGCCGACCCCCCTTCACCAGCAGAAGAGGGGGTGGGGTGGGAGAAAGAAGGTCGTGTGAGGGTGTCTGGAAACTTCCTTTGACCGGCACGCCCCCTTTGTTTTGGGACCATTAAGCCGCGCGGCACAGGCTTATCTTGCGTTACCAGTGCAACTGGACAATCGTTCCGTAATCTTGGAACATACTTTGGAACTCAGCAGGTTTGCATCTGTGACTTATTATGAGCTCAATCATCCCTCATAACAACATAGTTTATGGCTCCCAAGCGCGCGACCAGCCAAGGCCATAAGTGGCATTAAATCCTCCCCCAACTGTGTTCTCAGAGCTTCCAATTGTCCTGAGACTCGATTCGGTGGAGCTGCGCTTCCAGAATCACGACCCGTCGTAAAACCTACCTATACGACCACCCTTCGGGTGATAAGGAGGTTCGGGGGGGGAGGAACCAACGTCTCTCTCGATCGGTCTCACTATCGATCTCACTATCGATCTCACTATCGGATTCCCTCGATCGATCTCACTCGATCGATCTCACAATCGATCTCATTCGATCTATTGCATTCGATCGATCTCACAATCGATCTGACTATCGATCTCAGAATTAATATCACATTCGGTATCACTATCGATCTCACTATCGATATCATAATCGATCTCACAATCAAATTCATCATCATCATCAACATCACCATCGTTATCAACGTCATCATCATTAACATCATCATCACCGGGACACCATCATCATCACCTCATCACCATCATCATCATCACCATCAACATCATCACCATCACCATCATCACAATCATCATCGGGGCACCATCATCGTCACCATCATCATCATCATTATCATCATCATCATTATCATCATCGGGACACCATCATCATCATCGGAACACAACCATCATCACCATCCAATCATCATCATCATCATGAACAGCATCATCAACACCATCATCATCAACATCATCATCATCATCATCATCATCATCATCATCGGGACACCATCATCATCGTCACCATCATCATCACCATCATCCTCATCATCATCATCGGGACATCATCATCGTCATCATCAACATCAACATCATCATCACCATCATCGGGCCACCATCATCAAAATCATCGTCGTCATCACTTCACCATCATCCTCACCATCAACATCATCAGCATCATCATCGGGACACCATCATCGTCATCATCATTAACATCATCATCATCATCACCATCACCATCGGGACACCATCATCATCACCATCATCATGAACAGCAGCATCCGCAATCCCATCATCATCATCACCATCATCGGGACACCATCATCATTATCATCATCATCATCATCATCATCATCACCTTCTTCATCATCATCATCATCATCTCATCATCATCAACATCATAAGGATCATCAACCTCATCATCATCATCATCAACAACATCATCATCATCATCATCAACATCATCATCATCATCATCGGGACACCATCATCATCACCACCATCACCATTTCCATTATCATGAGCATCGTCAACATCATCATCATCATCATCAGCATCATCATCATCAGCATCATCATCATCATCATCGGGACACCATCATCATCATCACCACCATCACCATCATCATCATCATGGACATCATGGACATCATCATCATCATCATCATCATCATCATCATCATCATCATCATCATCATCATCATCATCATCATCATCATCATTACCATCATCATCGGGACACCGACGGGACACCGGCGGGACACCGCGGGCCATCGGCCCCAGGAGAGGAATCCTTTGGTCCTGCTGCGCCTCGGCCGGAGGCGACTCTCTCCCCGCCCGCCCGCGCAGCTCCGCCTCGCCCGCACGCACGGCACGCACGAGCACGAGACCGAAACCGATTTCCCGGCAGGAGGGCTCTCCGTTCCACTTTGATCTCACCCCCTCACCTCCGACTGCTACAGTCGGGGCGTTGACCTAAGGAACCCTAAATAAGGAACGAGGCCCATTTTTTCCATAAATTAACCTTCGATTTCCTGTCGAAAACATAATAAAAGCCTGAGGCAAGCTGGGAAACACGTAAGGAACGCGGAGCCCCTCCCCAACGAAAAGGGTTCCTTCTTCAGGGCCCCGACTGTAGTGTTGCTGCTACTGGCTGTCGCTTGCGACCACCACTTGATGCTGCTTCGTGTCGTTCAGTGCTGCCTGCTGCTGCGCACTGCTCGTTGCTACGGCTCGCCGTTGCGCGCTGCTGCTTCCTGAAGCCTGGGTTTCTCTCCGCTTGAAGCCTCTTCCTGGGCCGGTGCAGCAGCGGCGTGGGAGTCGACGGTGAAAGCATGGCGCGACTGACCGGTCGCTTGTCCATTTTGCGTGTTTCCTGCTTGTGCAGCGTCTGGCGCCACGCCTATTTGACGTTTCACTTTGCTCACGCACTGGCCGGTGCAAGGCTTACTTGACTTGACTTGACTTGAAGCCTCTTCCTGGGTCCTGGGCCTCTGGTGCGCTTCTTCCGGCCGCGCAGGAGACTGTGGGCAGTGTTGCAGCCCGAATCGTGCAGATCATCTCGAGCCTTGTGGAGGCTCTCTCGGAGCTGAGTCGTTTCGGAGCGCCCTGGGGCACCTTGTGGGCTCTCCTGGGGCCATAGTCAGAGGGCAAAAATCCCCCCCCCACAATAATCACCCCGACAGCGCGAGGCCGTTCGGCAAACGCACCCAAATAAGAACATCGAACAGGGCAAGACTGTTTAGTAAACGCGCAAGGCCGTTTAGCAAACGCCAACTCTCGGGTCCAGGTGGTTATTCCTCCCTTGAGTAGGAGCAAGGATCCGGAGGTTCACAGTCCTGGGGCCCGCGGCCGCTGAAAAGGCTGCGAGCATCGGAACGCAAACGGGTTTGGTAGGGCCCATGGCCTATGGTGCACGGTTCCCCCGTGGCCGTAGGCGACCCGAGGAGGAGGAGGAGGAGAAGGAGGAGGACAAGGAGGGGGAGGAGGAGGAGGAGGAGAAGGATGGGGAAGGAGGAAGAGGAGGAGGAAGGAGGAGGAGGGGGCGGCGGAGGAGGAGGAGGAGGACAGGTCGCCTAAGCCCCTCGGAGAAACCCTCCAGCCCATGGCCCCCCAGTGGTGCACCTCCTCTTTGAGGTCCGCCCAAAGAAGGATTTGGTGGCTCGCGGCCTGTGGCCCTGGTACCCTTGACGACGTCTGCATATGGAATTCCAACTCCTCCTCCTCCTCCTTCCCCTCTCCTCCCCCTCCTCCGCTCCTCCTCCTCCTCCTTCCTTTGTTCCTCTCTCCTCCTCCTTTCCTCCTCTCCTTCTCCCCGTCCTCCTCCTCCTCCCCCCTCCTGGCGACTCCCATCTCCTCCTCCTCGTAACTCTCCTCCTCCTCCTCCCTCCCCTCCCTCCTCTCCTCCCCTCCTCCTTCCCCCCCTCTTCCTCCTCCTCCTCTCTCCTCCTCCTCCTCCTCCTCTCCATCTCCTCCCTCCTCCCCTCCTCCTCCTCCTCCCCTCCTCCTCCTCCCTCCTCCTCCCTCCCTCCTCTCCTCCTCCTCCTCCTCCTCCTCCTCCGCTCCCCCTCCTCCTGCTCCTCCTCCTCCTCCTCAACTCCTCCCTCCTCCTCCTCCTCCTCCTCCTCCTCCTCTCCTCCTCCTCCTCTCCTCCTCCTCCTCCTCCTCCCACAATGGCTCTCCATGGAAACTCCTTCCCTCTCCTCCTCACTGGCTTTCCTCCCCCTCCTTCCCTTCGGCCTTCTCCTCGAGCTCCTCCTCCTCCTCCTCCTCCTCCTCCTCCTCCTCCTCCTCCTCCTCCTCCCACGCGTGCCTCCTCCTCCACGCCCTTGTCGAACCTGCCTCCCGTCGCTCTCCTCGGGCCCCGACGCGTCTCGCCTCACACGTGACTCGCGCTCTCGCCCGTGGTCTGTGGCTCTCGTGCTCGCTCCGCGTGAATTGGGCCCGGACTCGGGGATGGACACAAATGAGTGGCCCCCGTCCTCCACGGCGGCTCCGCCCCTCCCGTGAATTCGCGACTCGGGATGCGACACAAATGACTCTCCATGTTCGCTCTGGCTCGTGGTCCGTGGCTCTGCTCGGGCCCTCGTTCGGAGCGGAGCGCGGCTCGCGACAAGCGTGCCCCGAAGCGCGTCGTGATCTCGCGCACGCTGGCGGGGGCCGACGGGCCCGATGGCTCGTCGGGCTCCACGGCCACGGAGCGGCCGCCCGGCCGCTCCCGCGTGACTACTGGCCCGGTTTAAGCGTGTCACGCTCGTGCTCCGCGGGCGGAACTCCATCCCACCAATCGTCTGGGCGCAGGTGGTTCGGGCCGGGCGAAATGGGAGCGGCCAAAGGGGGGGTTTGAGATCAGCTCACGTAGCTGATTTTCCTGGCGCCTCCCGGCGCCGGAGGCTGCTATATATCGAGGAATGGGCCCCTCGGTGAGGCCGAAACCAGCTGCATGCAGCAAATTTCGTAAGCCCCCCTTTCCCAATCCCCCCCTTTCGCCTGGCCCGAATTCCGCGTCCTGTACGGCGCGGCGTGGACGGACCTCCCGTAGTACCCTCCCCTCAATGAAAACGGCCCGGGTGACCCGCAAAAATGAGGGCCGCGACGCCCTCCTGCGAACCGCAAACGGCCAATTCCGGCGCGACGGTCGGGGTAGGAGGTCTGTCCACCCCCGAATTATCTGCCCGCCGGCGATGAGTTGGCGGCTGTGGCCGGAGGCCCCCCCCTGAGCCCATCCCCCGGTATCGTTGCCCCTGAGCTCCTCTGCTTCGCCAGTGGGGCGCCCATCGCCTGCGCGGGGGGGGCTGCCGCCGCGCACGCTGTCGTGGGCATCGTTCTGGTGCTGCGGGCCCGCGGCCTCTGCGTCGGCGGGGCGGGCTGACTCCGAAGGCGCCCCGGCAGCTCCAGCGCCGGGCGCGGTTGCGGGTCCCGCCGCGGCGCCGTCGTCCTTCGGCAGGGAAAACGGAACATCATCCTGCCCACAGCGTTTCCTCACTAAGGTCAAATAGTCCCTTTTCTCACATTTGCTATCGAAGCTGCTTGACAAGCCGTCCCATACGGACCCTGTGAGCCTTTTTGGAACGGATAAGGGAAAACGTGATTCATCGAAAGAACCAGACAGACAAACAGTCAACCACTGAGAGAAAGGAGGGAGGGAGACACATTGAGGAAGGTACAGGGAGAGAGAGAGAGAGAGAGAAAGAGAGAGAGAGGACTCCATACATATGTGTATATATATACACATACACTAGAACCATCGCGCGCGCTTCGCGCGCGCTCCCAGGCCGGGGGGCACTGGGCGACCTTGGGCAACGCTATCAAGCATAAGCGCGCGACGGCATCAGAGGAGCTTCTGGGGTGCTCCGCATGCTTCGTCAGCTGGCTGTTGGAGGCATCCCTTGGGTGTCCTTTTTTTGGGGGGGGGCGTCTGAGGGTCCCTTGGGGGCATCGGTTCTGCAACCTGAAGCCGTCATTGGCCGTCTTGGCCGCGTGGAGGCCCGACTGGAGGCCACCCGCGGCCAGATTGAGGCCATCCGGACGCCTCCCGGGGCCCTTCTGGACGCAGTTTTGACGCATCGAGGGCACCCTTGGGCTATTTTAAAGCCTCTTGGACGTCTCCTAAGGGCCTTTTGGGCACTCGGGAAGCTTTTGGGGTCCTCGTCGGACCACTTTTGGGGCCTCTTGCGGCCTCCTGTGGGCCGTGGGGGGGACCGCTCTGCTGTTGGGCGCGTTCCCCTTCTTTGGCCTCTCTTGGGGCTCTTGGGGCCCTCTCGGGCGGCGCCTCAAGCACCGTCTTGGGGCCCTCGGGGGCCGTCTTGGGGCCCTCTTGGAGTCCTCTTCCTCTATATGGGACCGGTATTGGAAGCCTCTTGGGCCGTCTTGGAGCATCGGGATGCCAAAAGGCCGAAAAAGCCCAATCGTAAAACAATGAGTTGTGCCTCTTGGGGCCACCTTGGGAGATCTCTTGGAACCTCGTCGGCCCTCTTGGGAGCTTCTTGGGGGCCTCTTGGATGCGATTGGGGGCCTCTTGAGACTTCCCGAGAACCTCTCGGGGTAGAAAGCTCGGATTCTCGGTTCGTGTTTCCCTCCTTGGGCCTCTCTTGGGGCCGTCTTGGGGTCCTCTCGGGCCGTCTTGGGCGCCTCAGGCACCGCCTTGGGGCCCTCGTGGGCCGCCCAGGGCCCTCTTGGAAGCCTCTTCAGCAATCTTTTTTTTTTGGGGGGGGGGCGGACCAATGGAAGCACATTCCAAGCGGCAGACGAGCTGTTGCAGGCGCGGTGGACGTTTTCCACGCGGCATGCAACGCGACAAATTACATTTGCTGTCGACGCGGTGGACTTCCACTCGGCGTACGACAATGAAAAATACAGCTGGTAGCAGGTATAGCAAGTATTTCGCATGATCCTACTGCAGCTGGCTACCCCTTCTTTCATTTCTCGAGTTGCTTGGGCGAAGAGGAACGAAGCGGAGAACGAGGATGAGAGAACAAAAATAACGCCTGCTGTTCAGCCAGCCGCCAGCTGGCTTGCCCAAGACGGATGGGTCTTTCGCCCACACAATCTTGGACTTGGACATACTGCCGACGCATATCCGGCGCAGGACTGGTTCGCTCCAGCGGAAGAACCATACACTGGCAAACGGACACAAACACCAACGCTGCACAATGAGACACGTGGCCGGCACGACACGACAAAGAAAACTGTCCCGCATTCTGTAGGTGAACAAACAGTGGCATCTTGGTCCCAAGGTCGCAACTCCTCTGAGAGCCCAAAGCCCTTACAGCGCTCGCGCGCTGCTCGGGGAATGACGAGGCTTGGAGCCGCCCACAGAGCCTTGGACGCAGATTCGCGCCCCGCCAGGTGCCGCAGTCAGACGCAGCAGGTGCGACCCTCGTGATGCGGCATTCGCCCGGCGCGGCATTCGCCGGCGCCCGCGCGCGGCATTCGCCCGGCGACGACCCACAAGCCTGAGAACCAGCAGCACAAAAGCCGCCCTTCAGACGCACAGAGTAGAAAAATCAAGGCGTTCGAGCTTGAAACCGCATGGCGGGCGGCCCTACAGTGCCCCTCCCTGGCCCAGTTGGCACCAGCATAAGCAACGCTCGGGGCGCGTAGATACGACTTGAAATGACAAGGAACGGAGAAGAGGACGAGAATCATGAGCGAAGCTGGGCGAGAACCTTCCGGTGGGGCGGCCGAGTCTCTGGATAGACAAGCATCGAAAGCTGATGCAGTCCAAAAACATCACCCCCAACTGGGGCGCCCATTTCTGATCGAACTCGCCCTCTTGGTGACTAATCGTCACTCAAGTGAGTGAAACGGAGGACGAGGATGAGGGCAGAAGGAAAGAGCGAAGTATCAAAGCTGGGCGAGAAACTTCGAGTGGGGAGGCAAACTCCTCCGAGAAAGAAGGTTCAAAGGCTGATGACCAGACAGCATGGTGCTGGGAAGCGCTGATGCTGCCACCTGTTCAGACTGCCGCCAAATGTCTCGCCAGTGGCCATTTCGGCCGGCCTTAAAAGTAAGTGCTGCCCGTGCGCGGTTGCCACAGCACATATTCGCTCCAACGAAGGAAGAGCCTCCGATCTGGGAACTGCCGAGAGGCAAGTTCGCCCCTCGCAAATTGCCACAGACTCAGCAGGTGCGGACCCCGAAGTGCCGCGTGGTCCACGAGGAACGCGGGCGCGCTCACGGCGAGAAGCCCGACGCCTCGGGCAAGGGTGCTCCCGCGACGCGCCCGCGGCTGCACGTGCCGCAGAAGGGCGAGTCTGCCGCGCGCGTCTCACGCAGAGGCCCGAAGCCGCAGGCGAAAGCGCTCCGGCGCTTCGCCGCCAGCAGCATCTCTCCGAGTGGCGAGCCGGGCCCGCGGCGGCCCACCGCGCTGGGCTCCCAGGCCCCGGTCGCCCCCTGCCCGAGGGCGAGGCCGTCGGTCGTCCCCCGCAGGGCGGCGGAGCAGCGCCGTGCCCTCCGCAGCAGGCTGTCGAGCGGCGAGGTATCGCAGCGGTCCGCCGCGTCGGGCTCGAGGGCCTCGCCATCATCCGCCGCGTCGGGCTCGAGGGCCTCGACATCAGCCGACCAATTGGGCTCGAGGTCCTCGTCATCATCCGACCAACTGGGCTCGAGGTCCTCGTCATCATCCGACTCGCTGAATTCACCCATCATGGACCCGAAGTCTTCGTCTTCACATGCGGTCGTCGATGCGCTGACCAGCCTGACCCAGCGCTTCGATGAGTTCTTATTGCTCAGCGCCCTGAGGCGGTCGAGGCTCTTGGACGTCGACAAGTGACACCCAGGAATCAACGCCATGTCCAAGGAAGCCGGGCGGAGGCAACGGAACATGATGCAATGAAGAATGCAGCGCGCTGTTTCGAAATCTGGCAAAACTTGGCTTGAGCCAAAATGGCTACGGAAAAGCCTCTTCGGCTATCTTGGAGTCTGGGAGGCCTCTTCCTCCTCCTCCTCCCACTCCAACTCTCCCTCCTCCTGATCTTCCTCCTCCTCCTCCTGCAGCGCGTTCCGGAAGGCTCCCGCCGGAACATGCTGTGCACACGTGCTGTCACTGCTCCCGCCACCGTGCCCTGGGTGGTGGGTCAGAGGCCTCATGGGTGTTGGTTTGGATCTCGTGGTTGGCCTGTCGGGGACGTCGTGAAGGCAGTTTCGCAGCTTCTCGGTCGCCGTTTTGGGACCGTTGTGGGGCCTCCTCGGGGCTGTTTTGTGGCCTCTTTAGGCCTCGTTTGGGCCTCCTGGGTGCCTCTTGGGGGCCTCCTGGGGCCTCTTGGGGGCTCCTTGGGGCCTCCTGGGGCACTTTTCAAGCGGGAGGGTCGAATTTTGGAGTCGTGGTCCCCCTCTTGGGCGCATCTTGGGGCCGTCTTGGGGCTCTGTTGGGCTGTCTTGGGCGACTCTGGGGCCGTCTTAGGCCCTCTTGGGCCGTCTTGGGGCGCTCTTGGGGGCCTATGGAGCCGTCTTGGAACGTCGGACAACCGAAAAGGCTGGAAGGCCGAAATCGCTCGAAAATCTTAGTAAAATCGACGGGTTCGGCCTCTCGAAGCGCTCTGGAGAGGCGTCTTGAAGCGTCGTGGAGTGCCTTGGGGGGCCTCTCGGGCCGTCTTGGGCCTATCTTGGGCGTCCTGGAGCGGTCTTTCGGCGACTCGGGCCCGCTTGGGCCGTCTTGGGAGCCTCTGAAGGCCCTCCTGGACTTTTGGACCTCCCCGGCCGCCCCGTCCTCCCACGGGGGGTCGGAGGCGGCGGCATCCGAGGCCCCGGACGCGGAAACCCGGTAACAAAAACACATAAGGAAAACGAGCCCTGGTACGAGGCAGCTGTTTTTGGAGGACGCCCCGAGAGGGGGCCCGCCGTAGTTATTATACATATATATATATGTATATATACCCATCGGTCGGAAGAAGTAGGTAGAAACATGAAGTAGGAAGGCGTTGGAAATAGATTGGGTTTCCGCCCGCCTCCTGAAGAGGAGGGAAGAGGGAAACCCACTCGACTCGTGAAGTAGGAAGGCGCTCAAAGTAGATTGGAATCTGGGAATCCCAAAATACCTACTTTCAACGACCGAGGGGTACATCTATGGATCCACCCCGATTGCACAACATATTCTGCTATAGTCACACTGTCTGGGGCTCACGCTGGCTGACCTATTGTTACCAGGGGGCAAGCAAACCTACCTCCTCCTCCTCCTCCACCTCCTCCTCCTGCTCCTCCTCCTCGTGACATTGATGAGGAGGAGGTGGAGGAGGGGGGGGAGGGCGCTTTTGACCACCCTCGCTTCCAAGAGATACCAAGCGATGCCAAACTACGGCCTGTACTGGCCAGGCCGCTTGACGAGGAGGCGCGTGGTATGACTTGGTTCTGCCTGGAAGCGAAAGCGGGGCAGGTAAGTCACGCTCTGAGTTACTCTTTGCTGGTGCTGGTCGTTTCCCCGGGGGGGGGGGAGGTTGGGGCCCCGGGTAACGGTAACGCGTGGGCGGGGAAGGGCACGTCGGGGCGGGGGTGCTCAGCGATACAGTCGGGGCTTTGGCCCAAGGAGCCCTAAACAAGGAACGGGCCCCCTTCTTTCCACAAGTGGAACTTCGCTTTCCCATCGAAAACCTGAGGACAACCTGAGGCAAACTGTGAAACGATCAAGGAAAACAGAGCCCCTCCCCAACGAAAAGGGTTTCTTCTTCAGCACCCTGACTGTAGCCAGAGTATGTGCGTAGGCACAAACATGTAACGGGGGGGTCCAAGCCCCCCCGCCCTACCCACGTACGATCGTCACCATGACCAAGTGTGTGTTTGTGTGTGTCCTGGGTAACGACTGGTACGCGCCAGAGATCAACAGGCAGTCCCGATAAGGTCGCTGGTCATTCTGCGGCGAGAGCGAAAGGGAAAGAGAGAGAGAGAGAGACATGTAGAAATATAGCAACACATGCTTCAAGTCGCTGGTCCTGCTTTGACTCGAGCATTGCGGCACTGTGCTGGAGGACCTGGTTCTTGATCTGGATCCCCTTTTTGGTCATGGTGGTCGGAGCCGACAGAGCCGTGTTTGGCGGCAAGGTCGTCGCCGACTTGGGGCCGCGCAGCTTCTTCTTCGAGACTGGCGCAGCAGACAACTTCTTCCCCATCGGCCTCATCATCGTGGCGCTGGACACCGAGGACCCCTGGCACAAAATGGGATCGATACACCTGGCCTGCATACGCCGACCCCCCTTCACCAGCAGAAGAGGGGGTGGGGTGGGAGAAAGAAGGTCGTGTGAGGGTGTCTGGAAACTTCCTTTGACCGGCACGCCCCCTTTGTTTTGGGACCATTAAGCCGCGCGGCACAGGCTTATCTTGCGTTACCAGTGCAACTGGACAATCGTTCCGTAATCTTGGAACATACTTTGGAACTCAGCAGGTTTGCATCTGTGACTTATTATGAGCTCAATCATCCCTCATAACAACATAGTTTATGGCTCCCAAGCGCGCGACCAGCCAAGGCCATAAGTGGCATTAAATCCTCCCCCAACTGTGTTCTCAGAGCTTCCAATTGTCCTGAGACTCGATTCGGTGGAGCTGCGCTTCCAGAATCACGACCCGTCGTAAAACCTACCTATACGACCACCCTTCGGGTGATAAGGAGGTTCGGGGGGGGAGGAACCAACGTCTCTCTCGATCGGTCTCACTATCGATCTCACTATCGATCTCACTATCGGATTCCCTCGATCGATCTCACTCGATCGATCTCACAATCGATCTCATTCGATCTATTGCATTCGATCGATCTCACAATCGATCTGACTATCGATCTCAGAATTAATATCACATTCGGTATCACTATCGATCTCACTATCGATATCATAATCGATCTCACAATCAAATTCATCATCATCATCAACATCACCATCGTTATCAACGTCATCATCATTAACATCATCATCACCGGGACACCATCATCATCACCTCATCACCATCATCATCATCACCATCAACATCATCACCATCACCATCATCACAATCATCATCGGGGCACCATCATCGTCACCATCATCATCATCATTATCATCATCATCATTATCATCATCGGGACACCATCATCATCATCGGAACACAACCATCATCACCATCCAATCATCATCATCATCATGAACAGCATCATCAACACCATCATCATCAACATCATCATCATCATCATCATCATCATCATCATCGGGACACCATCATCATCGTCACCATCATCATCACCATCATCCTCATCATCATCATCGGGACATCATCATCGTCATCATCAACATCAACATCATCATCACCATCATCGGGCCACCATCATCAAAATCATCGTCGTCATCACTTCACCATCATCCTCACCATCAACATCATCAGCATCATCATCGGGACACCATCATCGTCATCATCATTAACATCATCATCATCATCACCATCACCATCGGGACACCATCATCATCACCATCATCATGAACAGCAGCATCCGCAATCCCATCATCATCATCACCATCATCGGGACACCATCATCATTATCATCATCATCATCATCATCATCATCACCTTCTTCATCATCATCATCATCATCTCATCATCATCAACATCATAAGGATCATCAACCTCATCATCATCATCAACAACATCATCATCATCATCATCAACATCATCATCATCATCATCATCATCGGGACACCATCATCATCACCACCATCACCATTTCCATTATCATGAGCATCGTCAACATCATCATCATCATCATCAGCATCATCATCAGCATCATCATCATCATCATCATCATCGGGACACCATCATCATCATCACCACCATCACCATCATCATCATCATCATGGACATCATGGACATCATCATCATCATCATCATCATCATCATCATCATCATCATCATCATCATTACCATCATCATCGGGACACCGACGGGACACCGGCGGGACACCGCGGGCCATCGGCCCCAGGAGAGGAATCCTTTGGTCCTGCTGCGCCTCGGCCGGAGGCGACTCTCTCCCCGCCCGCCCGCGCAGCTCCGCCTCGCCCGCACGCACGGCACGCACGAGCACGAGACCGAAACCGATTTCCCGGCAGGAGGGCTCTCCGTTCCACTTTGATCTCACCCCCTCACCTCCGACTGCTACAGTCGGGGCGTTGACCTAAGGAACCCTAAATAAGGAACGAGGCCCATTTTTTCCATAAATTAACCTTCGATTTCCTGTCGAAAACATAATAAAAGCCTGAGGCAAGCTGGGAAACACGTAAGGAACGCGGAGCCCCTCCCCAACGAAAAGGGTTCCTTCTTCAGGGCCCCGACTGTAGTGTTGCTGCTACTGGCTGTCGCTTGCGACCACCACTTGATGCTGCTTCGTGTCGTTCAGTGCTGCCTGCTGCTGCGCACTGCTCGTTGCTACGGCTCGCCGTTGCGCGCTGCTGCTTCCTGAAGCCTGGGTTTCTCTCCGCTTGAAGCCTCTTCCTGGGCCGGTGCAGCAGCGGCGTGGGAGTCGACGGTGAAAGCATGGCGCGACTGACCGGTCGCTTGTCCATTTTGCGTGTTTCCTGCTTGTGCAGCGTCTGGCGCCACGCCTATTTGACGTTTCACTTTGCTCACGCACTGGCCGGTGCAAGGCTTACTTGACTTGACTTGACTTGAAGCCTCTTCCTGGGTCCTGGGCCTCTGGTGCGCTTCTTCCGGCCGCGCAGGAGACTGTGGGCAGTGTTGCAGCCCGAATCGTGCAGATCATCTCGAGCCTTGTGGAGGCTCTCTCGGAGCTGAGTCGTTTCGGAGCGCCCTGGGGCACCTTGTGGGCTCTCCTGGGGCCATAGTCAGAGGGCAAAAATCCCCCCCCCACAATAATCACCCCGACAGCGCGAGGCCGTTCGGCAAACGCACCCAAATAAGAACATCGAACAGGGCAAGACTGTTTAGTAAACGCGCAAGGCCGTTTAGCAAACGCCAACTCTCGGGTCCAGGTGGTTATTCCTCCCTTGAGTAGGAGCAAGGATCCGGAGGTTCACAGTCCTGGGGCCCGCGGCCGCTGAAAAGGCTGCGAGCATCGGAACGCAAACGGGTTTGGTAGGGCCCATGGCCTATGGTGCACGGTTCCCCCGTGGCCGTAGGCGACCCGAGGAGGAGGAGGAGGAGAAGGAGGAGGACAAGGAGGGGGAGGAGGAGGAGGAGGAGAAGGATGGGGAAGGAGGAAGAGGAGGAGAAGGAGGAGGAGGAGAGGAGGGGGAGGAGGAGGAGGAGGAGGACAGGTCGCCTAAGCCCCTCGGAGAAAACCCTCCAGCCCATGGCCCCCCAGTGGTGCACCTCCTCTTTGAGGTCCGCCCAAAGAAGGATTTGGTGGCTCGCGGCCTGTGGCCCTGGTACCCTTGACGACGTCTGCATATGGAATTCCAACTCCTCCTCCTCCTCCTTCTCCTCCTCCTCCTGTTCCTCCTTCCTCCTCCTCCTCCTCTTTCTGCTCCTTTCTCCTCCCCCTCCTCCTCCTCCTCTTCCTCCTTCTCCTCCTTCTCCTCCTCCTCCCCCTCCTGCTCCCACTCCTCCTCCTCCTCCTCCTCCCCTCCTCTCCTTCCTCCTCCTCCTGCTCCTCCTCCTCCTCCCTCCTCCTCCTCCTCCTCCTCCTCCTCCTCCTCCTCCTCCTCCTCCTCCTCCTCCTCCTCCTCCTCCTCCTCCCTCCCTCCTCCTCCTCCTCCTCCTCCTCCCTCCTCCCCTCCTCCTCCTCCTCCTCCTCCTCCTCCTCCTCCTCCCCTCCCTCCTCCCTCTCCTCCTCCTCCTCCCCCCTTCCCCTCCTCCTCCTCCTCCTCCTCCTCCTCCTCCTCCTCCTCCTCCTCCATCTCCTCCTCTTCCTCCTCCTCCTCCTCCTCCTCCTCCTCCCCCTCCTCCTCTCGCCCTCCCTCCTCCTCTCCTCCTCCTCCTCCTCCTCCTCCTACATCTCCTTATCCTCCTCCTTCTCCTCCTCTCCTCTCCCTCCTCCTCCTCCTCCTCCTCCTCCTCCTCCTCCTCCTCCTCCTCCTCCTCCTCCTCCTCCTCCTCCCATAGCTTGTGGCATGTGGCATCTCGCCGTCCCTCGTGACCTCTCACGGCTTTCCTCGACGGCCGCGAACGGATTCGGCCGCTCGAGGCCGTCGGCCACGCGTGCCCCCCTCGACGCCCTCGTCGTCGCGGAACGTGCGCTGTGGCCCCGCGGGGGCCCCTTGTGACCCTCCTCGGCGGCCACGGACAGAGTCGGTGACCCACCACCCACGGCCTTGCCAAGTGGCCTGCTCAAAGCTCTGGTCGGTGACGGCGGATTTGGCGGCTCCCGTGGTCTGTGGCCCAAAGTGCTCTGCTCGTGGGCCTCCTCTCTCGTGGCCCTCCTCGACGGCCACTGTCGGATTTGGGAGCTCGTGGCCTGCGGCCCCTCGCTCCCTCGTGGCCCCCGTCGCTCCACGATGGCGCTCTGGTGCCCCTCCCGTGAATTCGCGACTCGGGGATGCGACACAAATGACTCTCCATGTTCGCCTCTGGCTCGTGGCCCGTGGCTCTACCTCGTGGCCCTCGTTCGGAGCGGAGCCGCAGCGAAGCGATTCGCAGTCGGCTCGCGGCCCGCTGCTCTCTCGTGGTCGCAGCTCAAGCGTGCGATCGGGGCCAAGAACCGTTTCGGCGGCTCGTCGTGCGCGACCCCGTCGTGACCCCGCCGCGTGCGCTCGCACGCGGAGCGGGGCCGCTGCACCGACTCGATGGCTCGTGGCCACGGCCGACGGAGCGGCCTGTGGATCCATGGCTCTTGTGGTCCGCGCATGTTGGAGCTCCTGGATCGAGGAGGAGGAGGAGGAGGAGGAGGAGGAGGAGGAGGAGGAGGAGGAGGATCGACGCGGTGGCCTGTGGCACTCGGCGCCCCCCGTTGCCCCAAGCGATGTCACTCCTCGTGCCCGGCCGCTCTCGATTCGGTGGCTCGTGACTACTGGCCCGGTTTAAGCCCGTGTCACGCTCGTGCTCTCGGGCGGAATGCCATCCCACCAATCGTCTGGGCGCAGGTGGTTCGGGCCGGGCGAAATGGGGGGATAGCAAAGGGGGGGTTTGAGAATCAGCTCACGTAGCTGATTTTCCTGGCGCCTCCCGGCGCCGGAGGCTGCTATATATCGAGGAATGGGCCCCTCGGTGAGGCCGAAACCAGCTGCATGCAGCAAATTTCGTAAGCCCCCCTTTCCCAATCCCCCCCTTTCGCCTGGCCCGAATGGTCTGGTGGTCATGATATTCTTCGGCGGTGGACAGACCTCCCTTTAGTAGCCCTCCCCTCAATGAAAACGGCCCGGGACCGAACCGGACGGACCTGGACCCGCAAAAATGAGGGCCGCGACGCCCTCCTGCGAACCGCAAACGGCCAATTCCTCCATCGACGTGTCGGGGTAGGAGGTCTGTCCACCCCCGAATTATCTGCCCTCCTCCTCCAAAACCCCGCTTCCCTTCTGTGAGGCCTCCCCCCTTGCCGAGCTCATCTCGGAGGCCTCGCGAGCCGTATCGGAATCCGAAATCGAATCGAATCGGAATCGGAATCCACCGAAATCGAATCGAATCGAATCGGAGGAATCGAAACGAGCCCTGGGTCTGGTGGTCATAATATGATCTGCTTTCCTCCTCCCAAAGCCCCGCTTCCCTTCTGTGAGGCCTCCCCCCTTCCTGGGCTTATATTTCGGAGGCCTCGCGAGCCGTCGGGGCACCCAAGAGGGCTCCGACGACCCCCGACGCTCCTCCTCCTCCTCCTCCTCCTCCTGGCCAAAAAACCCCGAACAAGAATATGACAACTCACGTTTTTTCGTTTTTTTTTTTTTTTTTTTTTTTTTTTTTTTTTTTTTTTTTTTTTTTTTTTTTTTTTTTTTTTTCTCTGAGGGGTCCCCCTGAGAGCCTGGGGTGGCCGGAGAGCCCCCCCCTAAAAAAAACAACAAGAAACCAGAGTACAGTCGGGGCCTTGACCTAGGGAACCCTAAATAAGGAGCGAGGCCCCTTTTTTCCATGAGTTAAACTTCGATGTCCCGATCGAAAGCATAAGGACAACCTGAGGCAAGCTGTGAAACACTTAAGGAACGCGGAGCCCCTCCCCAACGAAAAGGGCTTCTTCTTCAGGGCCCCGACTGTATGCTACAAGATGGCTTCCGACATGCCTCCAAGAGGCCCCGAGAGGGCCACAAAACGGCTCCAAGTAGCCCCCTCAGGACTTCCCAAGACCATCGCTGACTTTGCCTTCCCGCTGTTCCGCTTTCGATGCGTTTTTGAGGCCTCAAGATGGTCCCTAGATGGTCCTATTCGGGGGCCCTTTTTTGATAGACACCCTCCCAAGATGGCCCACGAGGTCTGACAAGGCTTCCAAGAGGCCCTCACGAAAACTCCAAGAGCGCCCCAAGACCCGCCTAAATAGCACCGATAACCCTCCAAAATAGCCCCAAGAGGGCCACAAGAGAGTCCCACAAGGACCCTCAAAGTGCCCCCAGAAAGCTCCGAAGCAACTACAGGAATCCTCTACGTCGTCGTCCTGTTCGTTTTCCTCCTCCTCCTCCTCCTCCTCCTCCTCTTCCTCTTCATCCTCGCCCATCTTTTCTTCCGCGTCCTCCTCCTCCTCCTCGTTCTCGTCTTTGTCGTCCTCGTCGTCCTATCAAGAAAACTCGCATGGGCATCGTTTCTGAACGGGCTGGCGCGTCAATGATTCAAACTTAGATTCTGCGTTCCGTGGCCCCCCTCGCAGGGCGGAGCTCATGAGGCGATTCGGTGGCCCGTCGTGGTCGTTGTGGGCGTAGCCTGTCACAATTGATCCGGTATAAAAAAACACGCCCGAACCCTCCGCCCGCAAAAAGCCGACCGGGGCACAAACGGTACGAGACCTCCCTGGGCCACTGGGAACACTGAAATGATGATCTGCTTCTCCTTGGTCAACCCTGGGCCTGGGAAGACGCAGCGCCCCCCATCATCCCAGCATGGTCGATCGCCCTTCCCGGCTGGCCAAGCATGGCGCCCGCTCCGTGGTCGAGACGCAAGGCGTCCGGCGTGAACGCCTCGGTCGAGCTGTCGCCCAGCTGCATACAACCCTGCTGTGGAGGCGTAAGCCAGCGTACAAACACACACGCACAACACACAGGCAGACAACCCACCCATTCACAAACGTTTTCTCTCAGCGCGCCGATGGGGGCCAATCGACGGTCAGCGAACGTCAAGATCGGGACGGCACTCCTCCTTTGGTGAAAAACACAATCGCGTCGCACAGTGGCGGGGGTCGCGCGCGTGCATTACACGCGCGCGCACACGCACGCACGCGCACGCGCAAACACGCACACACATACACGCGCACACACATACATCCACGCATCCACACACCCACACATCCACGAATCCACGCATCTACGCACCCAGACATCCACACGACCATACATCCGCACACTCACACATCCACACATCCACACATCCACACATCTACGCACCCACACCCACACCCGCACCACACACACAGCACACCACGCATCTCGGCGTTCCTACCTCGCGTGCCCGGCCTCGGACGCAACGCCCCAGTCGCGGGCCAGGGCCGCCGCCCCGCGAGCGCCTCGCGCGGGGGGCGCTCGCGGTGACGGGCACCGCGCCCGACCAAACCAGCCTGGGCATTGACTCCAAAGGCGGGCGGGCGGGGCAGATGCGGACCGCCAACGACCGGAGCAGCCCCGCGCCCGTGATCGGGCGGGCGGGGCAAAAACGGCCGACGGGCCCGCGCCGTGAACGAGCGATGGCCCCCGAGACGGCCCAAGAGGGCCCCGAGTCGCCCAAAGATCCGCCGAAAACGCCCACGATAGCCCCAAGACCGTCCAAGAAGCCTCCAAGGCGTCCCAGGCCCCCTCCAAGAGACCCCCAGGAAGCCCCAAGAGGCCCCCACGAGGCTTCCAAGCGGCCCCTGAGAGCTTCCCAAGAGGCCCACAAACTACCCCCAAGAGGCCCCCAAGCGCGCTCGTCGTCGTCGTCGTCGTCGTCGTCGTCGTCGTCGTCGTCGTCGTCGCCATTCAGGGTCGGGGGCACCCGCCGTAAGGCCTTCGCAATATGACAACAAATCAAAACCTGCCAAAGGAACGGCGCCAGGGCGCGCCGCGACCCGCTCTGTGCGTGATCTCCGCGGCGCGCCCGCGCGAGCGACCGCGGCTGGCTCGCGCGTGACGACGAAAAGATGCCAAGGAACGCGCGTGGGCAGCGCGCCCTGCGGTCGGGCAACGAGCGTCGCGCTTCGCGCGCGCCGCTGCGCCGCTGGACGGTCGGCCGACCTGCGAGTTGCGCCCGCGCAGCGCCCTGCGGGTTTGCGCCCCCCCGCGCCTCTCGGCGCTCCTGCCTCGCGCGCCCGGCCTCGGGCGCGACGCCCCGGCGATTGGCGCGGCGACCAAGCCGGGGCCGCCGCCCCGCGAGCGCCCCGCGCCGGGGGCGCTCGCGGTGACGGGCGCCGGCGGCGACCAAGCCAACCTGGGCATCGAGCGCAGCGCAGCGCGCGCCCGGGCTCGCCTGGCAGGGGCGCGCAAGGCGTGCCGAGACCTGGTGGAACCGCGGACGCAGGTCGCAGTGCGCGCCGAGCGTGCGCCTGAGCGACTTGCCCCGCAGGCGCCGGCGCAGAGCCTGGTCTGCTCCCTGCGCTGGCACTTAAGGCGCGAAGCGGCGGCCGCCGCTTCGGCGGTCGCATCGCCCTCGTGCTGGTGCGCATCTTCTCCGAAAGCGCGGGGGCGCCAATCGGCGCCGCGGAGGCTTTCGCGCGGGCGGCTGTCGCGCCTGCGCTGTGTCTCCGCGCGCCCGCGGCGGAACGCTCTACTCGCGGGGAACGCCGCGTTTGGCGCGCCGGCGCGCAGCGCCGCCGCCTTGAAGGCGCGCCGCGCAAGCGAGGCGATTGAAACGACGCCGCTGCTGTCGACTCGCCGCAGATGCGGAAACACGGGCGAGCCGACGCAAGCGCGCTCCAAGAATCTTCGCCTCGCGCGCACTATGCGCGTCGCTTGCGAATGTGCGCGCCAGCAACTCAGAGCTGCGACCGTCGGGCCGTCGCGATTCTTGCGCCGCGAGAAATGCGGCGTCGTCGAGTCGCCCGGAAATAAGAGGACGACTCTGACTCTTCCCTTGCGATCGGGCAAACCGTAATTCAGCCTCAAGTTGAAATTGTAATTTTGACTTTGACTAACGATTTTAATGATATTTGTTGGAGGGGGGCTCAAGAGGCTTGGAACAAGCTTCCTCCTTGGGCGGCGGCTTCTAGGTTGATGTCTACTTGGTTCGGTAATTGAGGAGACCCGGAAATTAAGGAGGTCCGAGAATTCAGACACGGGAGGTCCAGACCACTAAATGCTGAATCTGCGGATATGCGGAAAATGCAATGCGAAGACCGAAGTTCGGAAACGCATGGGAATCCGAGTATGAGGACACGACGGCGTTCAACACACAATGGGGCCGATAACCTCGGGGCAGTTGAGTCCGCCGATGGGGGGGCCCCGGGGGCCTCGCGGCCTCGGATGCCAAAGACAAGTGCTGCAGCTTTCCGAGCAGTTCTTCAAGTTGGGTGTGTTGGAGCGCCCTCGCCCCCTTATCCTCGCCATCTTCCTTTCATATTTGTTCTTGGCCCTGATCCCTCATCATTCTCCCGCCCCTCGTCTCCCCTCCCACCCTTTGGCCCAGAAGGGCTCCGCCGGGCCCCCCAGTCTGGAGAGGCGTCGCCTGCAGACGATCGCGCGACGATGCCTCGGCATTCGGGGAACAACTTCGGCGGCGATGCCCGTTCGAGGCTGTTGACGTCGAGTTCCTGGATGCGGCTGCGTGCAACGGCCCTGTGCCATTGGCCCTGTGGGTCCTGTAGTAAGTTGCCCAGTGGAGAACCCCACGGGCGTCCGAGGCCCTCGCCCAGCGCCAGCTGGCCCCCTGACAGCGCCGAAGGGCAATCGTCAATCGCAAGGGCGGAGCTGGACGGCCCAATCTGTGGGAGCTGCAGTTGAATGTGCTTATCGACGATCCTGTCGCCGTTGGCTGTTTCCTTTCTACGATCGCGTCCTATGTGCGCGTCGGTGGTTTCGTTTTGTGTCAGGACGGCTGTGTCTTGGGCGTGGTGGGCAAGGCCGCTGTCCAATATCCGCGCACGTGACAACCCTTCTGTTGACCGCGTCGGTGAAAGGGACTCGGTCGCGGGCGTTGCCACCGACGCTGAGCCGTCGTCGGGTGGTAGGTCGGGCGCCGTGGTAAGTCTGGTCGGGGCGGTGAGGTCATCGTGCCATTTCTGCGTCTCAAGCCGGCAGTCTCGGAACGCCTCGGCGCTGTCTTGCAGCCGCCAGTCCGGCAGCGGGTCGGGCGCATTAGCGAGGTCGCCCTCGTTGGCGTCGGTGTGCCACTTGGCCAGTTGCCGTTTGGGCGCGGGGTGGGTGATGACTTCGATGTCGTCGTGGTCGAATCGTTATCGAAGACGTGGTTGCGTGGTGGCTCGTGTAGATGCGGCCACCGGGGTCTTTTCACAAATCGCGCGCGTTGGGTCTCGTCTCTGGCCGCGTCGCCATGCTGCAGGCGAGCTTTTCCTCTGGCGCGTCGAAGGTGGCCGTCCAGAGCCGCGCGGGGCAGATCCGCTGCCACATTTGTCGCTCTCTGTGGGTGGGCGCCCCTGACTGCGGTCGCGGCTGCCGCCCCGCGAAGGGGGGCGGGGGCGCCGTGGGGGCCGCCTGCGGCCCCCCGTCTTCGCGAGCCCTGTCGCCCCCCGCGCCCTGGGGGCGGCGATCCGCGGAGTGGCCAGCGGGGCCCCCCCGGACTCCGAGAGCCCTGGCGCCCCCCCTGCGCGGGGAATGTTGGTCGCCCCGCGCATGTCCGGGGGGGGCGTCTCGTTGCGGCTGTCGCGCCCGAGAATCTTGGCGTGGGGCGGTGGCCGGAACTGGTGTGTAGTAGTTTGCGCCGTTCACGGTTCTTGCAGCGACCTGCCCTGTATGCTGCGCATGTGGTCAGATCGTGGCGTGTCGTCTCGTTCTTGAGGTTGCGTTGGTTACGGTCGAGTCGGTGCATCTCGAGGTTGGCCACAATGCGTTCTCCAAGCCAATCGCCTGTTCGGTTAGGGCCGCCCATCTTGATTTTGTTGTAGTCGCGCGTGCCTCGCTTCATCCATGGGTGTCTGCGGACCGACGCTCGGAAAAATAACTCGAATATTTTCGTGTCTGGTGGATCACGGCATTCCAATAATAAATTGTCCCAATCCACAATGCACGAGTGGACGTCGTTGTCTCGCATGCGGGTGAAATGGAGACGTTCCAAGTCGAGTATGATGTCGTCGGCTTCCGTGAAATATTGTAGGACAGCTCAGAATATCTGTCTTCCTTGCAACATGCGGCCGGCTTGGTGCTCCTGAGGTTTGCGGTTTTTCATGCGAGAGCGGAGTACAATAGTAAGAACTGCCGAAAGTCCAGCGGCGAGCTTGGAATCGATGCTCTGGGAATCGCCACTCTCTTGGAGGTTCTCAAATGTAGCATCGGGGAGTTCAACAACGCTGAGAAATGTGTATGCCGCAGCAGGACGCCCTGACGCACTGCCGCAGTTTTCCATGACCACTTGTTGCCACTGTTGTACCTGATAATACGTGGCAGTTGGGGAGCGAGATCAGTATCTGATTCCTTAATCGGGGTCGTGCCACCAAGGGAATACTGTGAATTCTTATGTGATGGAGCTGGTGGCGTCGGCGATGGTGCTTGCACAGGGGATGCGTGACGTGTCTGTGTTGAAGCTGCTGCAGAGGCAGCTCCTAGTGACGTGCGTCGCGGTTGCCCTGCGTGGATGTTTCCGTCGGCGAGGGTTGGGGCGCTGTCGGTGGTTGGTTCCGGAGGTTGCGAACGGAAACGGATCTTGGCGTCGCCGACGTGGACCTTCAAGGTGGCCTTGGTTGTTGTGAGATCGTTCTGCCACTTTTCAACGCTCTGTCGTTGACCGCGTACCTCGTCGTTGGTGTCGTTAGTTCGCTGGGGGTACCATGTCAGCCGATGCTCTAAATCCTGGAACCGTCGGTCGCGTGCTTCGCGCTCAAGTTCCAAACGGGTGAGTCGTGCCTCGGCCCGTG